GTTCATCACATTCTTTCCATAAACTTTGTCAAGTGCTACAAAAGACGGAAAATAAGTTGTGAATAAGATAGTCGTACATTCGTTGTGCATTTCATGTATTAACGTCCATTACGCAACAAACCACGAATGTGCATTCGAACCCTGACAAAAACAGATTGTATTAGATGTGTATACTAATGTCTGCGGTTCACGCAGGCGGCGGCGAATAAATGAACATACATCTGTTGCACTGTCAAACACTGTGTTAAATCGTAAAAAATTCCCTGCAAAAGACGAAAAATAAGTTGTTAAACAAAATAGTCAAACATTCGTGTATTTAATATATTAACATTAGACATGAACACGTATCGAATATAATTTATACCAGGGCCGGATCGACAAAACTGTTTTGGGGCCGGAACGTCCAAACCAGAACCGGAACGTCCTTTTTTTACCAGGGCCGCAACCGACCAGGGTCGGATCGTCTAGAAATCGATGAATCACTAGCTGTCATCAAACTTTTCAAATGAAAAGTCAACACCACAAAAAAAATGAGCACACCACGCCCTCCTATGTCACTTAAATGTGTTCACTGTCCAGTCAGACCTGCAAACACAACCAATTAAATTCACCAAACAGCTGAGTGTAAGCATTCATTCTTAATCTGAGGACTCTCTTGAACAACTGATATTTGTAGATGCATGCCATAGTATTTGATTGGTCTGGTTTTCAGGTTGTGCCGGGTCAGTGGGCTTATTCTAGTGACGTAGAAGGGTGTGGTTTAAAGGGAGAGTTGCAAAACTACACTTTTTGACCGTTCAGTTTACAGAAAGTCTAATCTGATAATTTACAGTTTTTTTAATGGTGATGTAATAAAAAGGTATTCTTTTGATCATAATGGATAACAAATTCAGAGCTTGAACTTTACGAAGGCATTAAAGGCAGTTTGCCTTTGTGCCCTTCCAAAAATTAAAAATTTCTTCTAGACACAAAGGCCATTTTATAAAATTTTTCTTGAAAATGGGTTCTCGCTGACATTTGGGTTCAGGCCCTGCAAATCACCACATGCCGACTTTTTGTAGACTTATTTCAGCATTTTTTCAACCATTGAAAATTAGTGTGTCTCAGTCTCAGCTTACCAATGAGGGTACACAACTAGTTCTATCATGCTCCATCAAAGAATTTGTTTCTATTTTCTGTAAACGAAAGGGTCTCATTTTCTATGATGTACTAGTGTACCATAACATAACTGGGTTTTCGATAGTGCTTTGCCAGTTGCCAATGCTAATGCCGTTTACATCAAATTATGTCACAACCAGTGGCCAATTTCAAATATGAATTAGTCTGAGTGAATGGTGATTGTTTAAAACATGTCGTCATCGATAGAAAGGAAAAGGTAATGCCCAATCGAAAGTGTATTTTCAGTAGAAACTTCTTTACTAAGAACAAGCAATTAATCGTTTGGAACCATGGTTCTAGTCAAACTCTCTCAAACCCCAAATGCCAAAACATGTTCTGCAGAACATGACGACAAATCCAAAAAATTCAAGATCAAGATCAAAGCATACATTCAAATTCAACTGCAACCTGTCTTGAACTAATATTCGGTCCTGAGCTAAAATGGTCAAATCATGCGACTTATCTTTAGTGTTTTGTGGCTCCCACTTATCACATCACGTCTGAGACGCCTGCGCTCTTTCACTGAGAAAGTTTGCAAAGATATTATTTCAACAACTGTCTTCTCTCTTCTTGTTTACTGCGACACTGTATATTCAAACTGTAATATTTCACTGAAAAATAATCTCCTATCAATCATTTTTCTTTCTTTCATTCTTTATTTGAAGATTTATTTGATTAACAATGAAATTATATATACCAAGTTTACAGACCTGACTAGTTCTGATGAACTATATCTGTAATCCCCACCAAAAAAAAAATATTGCAGTAGCATTCATTATTTATTTCTATATATTTATACAATTTCTACATTTAAATTAATTAATGTTGTTTTAATTTTTTTTTTGGTGAAATAAAATTTCATTCATTCATTTATTCATTTCGTATTCAATGCTGAACACGCATGACCATATTTCTGTCGCCAGATCTGCAATTGGATAGCAAACAGTAGATGAAAGACGCACCATTTCGATAAATATTAGTATTTCATAATGCTATTTCAAAGTAGCTAAACATGTTGGAGATAAGAAAAACATTGTATTATATTCATAATATTTGTAGAATTGTTGAATTACGGATGGTTGAAGCAAACCATAATAAGCAAACTTACTCACTTAAGAATTTAAAAAAAAAAATTCACAGAGAAGACATCTCGAGTTTTCACATAATGTAAATCGCATTACTGATCATTGTTTTTCTAGATATGGAATTATGCGTGACGGAAAAGATTGCTGGGTTAATGCGAGTTGTTATCGCATTTTGTTTTGTTGGTATTGGCACTTCCTTGTTTGGTTTTATACTCGATACATTTGGTCCTTCAAAAAGAATTTTGAAAATAATTCGGCGGCATGGAATTGGGAATATTGTCACAGGTAAGGCATTTTCATATGTGCATCTCTAATTTTCTGGTACATGTAATCCTGTTTTGCCAATGTTTGTTACAGTATTTACTATATTCATATACTGATTTTCAATAATATTTGCTCAAAATACATAAATATACGAGCTCTAGTTTGGAAAAATTGTTTTAGATTTTGTTTCTACCATTAAAGTTCACTCTGAGATCATTTTCCCACTTTAAATGGGTCTTGGAACTATCACACTTCTCTATGTACCGGTATGTGAAATATTTAAATAATAGTCCCAAACCCCAGTGAAGCTGTAGGTATGATAGTGTAATTTTAATGATTACGATATGATGATTTATATGTGAAAATAAAATCAATCTTTTGCATAGCAGCCAACTTATAGAAGAATTACAGTAGTAGCTATTTAGGCTGTAATTCCAGTAACCATGTTCCTGAATATTCATTAGCTTATGAATATGAATGAGTGAGCAGCACTCTTGTTGGCCTAGTGAAATCTAAGACTGGCCCAGTCGTGGCAATTTCTTGTTTTATATGATAACTCCCTTTGAGAATTAATTTGTAAAATCTCTGATTCTGAATAAATGGTCTATTCTGTTGTGCCTCTAGCGACAGCACCATATTTTTGTGTGGGTTATTATGCTAATGAGTAGTGTGATTGTAACCTACGGCAGCCAATTAAAGAAGGCAGCTTTTGATCTGCCCTGTTCAACACAATACCGAAGCACATAAGACAATGATGTGTAAAATTCTTTGCACAAGCATACACCCAATTCCCTCCTTTGAAAGTGATTCATAACTTCACTGCTTACCAGGTATCATGAATAATTATGAGCATTGAGTACACCATAGAATAGACCAGTCATAGTAATTTAGTGTCGGGTCAAGATGCAAAAAAAAAAAGATTATCATATAAAACAAGAAAAATTGCCATGACTAAGTCATTCTAGTGAGATCGCTGTATAGACAGTTGCTTAAAATGACCTCAACTTTGTTTAACTTTCTCCACAGTTGTACTATGTGCGGCAATCAATTTATTTTGCTACTGGATATCAGACTTGATAGATGAACATCTAAATGCCAACAAACGGGGCACAGGTAGTCTAGTAAAAGTACAATTTGATATAGGATATTATTTAATCGCTGGAGCCGGTGGATTGTCTGTTATCGTTGTGGCAACTAACATGTTACGTAGGTATCCTATGTACGATGACAGTGGAGATGACGGCATTGATGATTGGGAAAATGAGTTTGTCAACCTGCCTGCTTCGTTTACTCCACCTCCCCCTCCACCTCCTGCATACACTCCCTGAAGACAACCCCTTACCTCATCAAGCCTTGTATGAAGGTAGCGAAAATGACAGCAGTGTAGATTTCTTTAATTTAACCTGCCACACATATGTACTTGAGAGTTCACAGTTGGAACTTATGGTGTTATCTGCTACTGCTGTAGCTGGGATAAAGCATATATACCAGGCAGAATTTGATACGTGGAACAAAATTGGCAACAAACAAGCTGCTCTCTGATTGGCCTGAATGTAAGGTGTTAGGGTTTGGTAGCCAATCAGGAATAATCTTGTAAGTAGCTCCACATTGACTCCAGTGTTGGGGAAAACTTTGATATGGCTCACAAGCTTCTTTTAAAAATATAAAACTTCATTTTAATACTGAGTAGAAAAGATCTTTTCATAATTCATTGACTAACAAAGACTTTATTCATATGTTATTTTTGCACTTTGCAATAGAAATGTCCAAATGCGGTTATACACAAACTATTCTGGTTAATTGAGACAAAATTATGTTGCAATTTATCCAATAATCAACCATTCACTTTACAGTAGTGGGAGAATATATTTTGCTATAACTACTATTAAACATTGTATTGTCTTACCTTACCTCCTTGGAATTTGAACTAAGGAAATTGTTTCAAGTGGCATTCATTTCCACACAAAAGGGTCAGAACAGTTTATCAGTACAAGATCAAGGATACTATTGCTAGAGAAAATGTTTTTATGGAGTTAAAGTTGGTGTGGCGTGGTCCAGTTTGGGTCATCGCTGCGTCATAGCTAATATTCTGATACTGTAAAAAGATTAATTATTCACTGGGTTTCACTGCTTATTTCGCTGACTGGAAAATGCGCTAAATTAAAACCCAGTGAATATGTAAAATTGAGCATAGAAAACTGTGAATTGAAAACCCACTGAATATACCTGAAATGGTAAATCAGTAAAATTTAAACCCAGTGAAAATTAGTCATTTTACAGTAATTTGTATGTATATATTACAGTAAATCTCATATGTATTTGGAGAGCTGTATTGTTAACAAATTCATTTTCTGACTATAGTAGTCTGTACTGACAGTGCTGGAAACGTAAAGTAGCAACAGGGTAAACAAGTTGAAAATTGACCTTTGATTCAGATAATTTCTAAAAGTTTCCAAGCATGCTACTATACCAAACGATAAATCTGTGATATAAGTGAATATAGTACTGCATTTGTCTTACCAACGGTTGTCTAAGGGATTACCTGATAGTCATTTCGCTATTGTCGTTTTAGATTATTTTGACTATTAAGAACACCGTTTTTAACACTGACCTGTGAATTGCATGGGAAGTTTGTAATGCTGTTGGCTTGAAGACTACTGGTACATGTATATATATATATATATCTGTCTTTTTTTGTCTAGCCAAATAACTCCCTGCCATATACAATTTGTTGGATAAGCTGTAATGAAAAAAACTAAACCCTATAATAGATAACAAAATCAAGATGAAGGTTTCTTGTACACAAAAAAACAACACTCTGGAAAGAAAGTGTTTTTTTGTTTTTTTCACCATTCACACCCATATCAAAGCTTTCAGATAATGCATGCTTTGTAACTTTAGGAGAATGTCTGAATCACATATTAATTAAATTTAAACTAGTTTCCCCCCTGTTTCTATCTTTTAGCACCACAGTGTATTGAATGTGGGTCCCATACGATTCAAACAAAGTATATGTATGTGGATGTGTATAAGTGTGTTTTCCAATTAGAGGCTGACTCACTGTTTATTTTAATTTAGCTGTGCAGTTACTAGTATACTGTACTGTTACAGTGGGTGCTAAAAATATACTGAACAAGAAAACAGTTATCTTTCTATCAGTCTCCCTTGCAACATTGTACTATTCCTAGCATGGAACTGTTTTAAGTTTCATATTCCTAGGAACATTGCCAGCTATTCATTTATTTATAATGACATTGCTTTTAACCGTCACTTACCCGTATATATCAAAAGTGTTCAAGTCAAAACAAACACTGCTGGCATTGTTTTCCTTGAGTATTGTTGTCTCTAGGGAAACTGATAGGGGTATAGCTATTTTCTTGATCTGTTTATTTTTGCCACCCAATGTAACTCATTTGGTGGCAGATCAGGGTTAAATGTGGTTATGTTTAACACTACTTTTATTTATATGGATTATGAGTTCTGTGAATGCATGTAAAATCATTATCAAACTCAACGTTTCATTAGCAAGTCCAGTCAATAAGTTCAAAATAATGAAATTAGGATCTCCTAAACATTTGATCTCATAACTGTTTGGCAACATGTGCCAAAGAATTATTGTATACTTTTGAAAGCTTGTCTCCTATAGAGGTAAAGTCTACATGATATGTTTACATTCTGTTACCTGCGTTATATATTTTTTATTTTTACATTACCGTATATGTTCTAATACTGGTGTAACAAAAATTGCATTTATTGTATGCTGGATTATTAAAAAACCTTGCATGTTCTTACTAATAGAGTAAACATGAGGTATATTAATATGTATTATAGTGAATACATACTGTATTTGTTCTATTTAAATGACATCCCATAAAAGTGAATACTGTAAACCATTTATTTTTCACTGTGATGGAATTTCGTGATTTGTTGGTTTTATTGCATTTATTTAAGGCAAAATTTGGCGAAAGTCACTGGCACTGTTGTAGAACCCTGCAGAAATTTTCACTGCTGAAATTTCATCATTTTCCTGACTCGTGCAAAATTAAAATTGTTTTTTTAGCATTTAAGGGTTGCGTGGCTAGTATACTTTCAACACAGGAAGGTTCTCATTGTTATTCTGTGTTATAGGCTATTTAAAAATATTAGTTTATCAATTATGATCGTCAATTATATGTATTTTGACCAATTTTTGAAATTCAACATGGCCTCCAGAGTAGGGTTAACATTATTGAGAAAACACCAACTATTGTATCCATGGAAACAAGATTCAGTACCCTACTTTTTATTTGCTGTTTGTCTCTTATTTAATGTAACCTTTCAAAGCGTAGACCATTTTCTGTTTACTGTGAGATCTTGTGTTGTCCATGAAATCAAACTTAAAAATAGGTCAAACAAAGGTCATATCATATTAATGATGGTAAATATTAATTAAGTAAGGGTATATCAACACTATATTACCCTATTAGGATTGGCATTTTGATATTGAACTATATAAAATTAAAAAAAAAAATTCAAGCTTGAAATCAAATCATTTGATTTTTGCGGCAGATTTTGGTATGCGCGATTCACGCATAACTCAAGGTCTCACAGTGAATGGAAAATCACACATTTATAGTGATTATATAGTGTTCACATTTATGTAAACCAGTCTATCCTTATTCTGAAAATCTAGTTGTAAAAAACATACTGTGGCCTTTCACAGTTTTGACATAGCATTTTTGTAAGCGTTTATTAGAGCAAATACGGTACATTTTTTTTAAGGTTCATTTGGGACAGCTCTATATGTAAATGGAATTTGTTTTCTCTCTTTCCAGAATGTATATACTTAAATTATGGATTTTTTAAAATATTTTTGGTTCAAATTAAAATTTATCTTTTTAATCCACATGGCAATAGAAAGGAGTATACATTTTGTTGTGAGCTCTGGTTCTTGTTTCATGCGACTTGTCACGAGTTGCCGCAAACTTCGCTATAAAATAATAAACAAGATTGAGGAACTCCTCTTAATATTCAAATTATCATACCATCAGGAAAAAAGAAATCTAGGACTTGTGTACTTTTACCAATATTATCATAATCAAGAAAAATTTTGAAAAACTGATCCATAATATAGAAGTTGATAATTCTTGAAAACAAAAATAAAAGGATTCAATTTGATTACATATACCGTCAGAGCTGAAAATTGTCTAATAATTATGCAAATTAGGTAATTGATATGAACGGATTTCAACCCCAAACTAATCCCAGACCACATATACAAAGTTCCATTCATTGAGTGGTTCTTGAGGTATGAGTGCAACAGACATACCTACATACATACAACTGTACACATAGTCAGGGTAACTGCAACAACTCCCATCATGTGCTTCACAAACAAGAGTAAATCAAAGAAAGCTTAAAAGGAACTACCATGTCCCGTAATTCAAAATTTAAGATTGGTCTTTCAAACAAGAAGCTTGGCAACTAATATTTGTCTGCTATTTGAGATGCACAATGTAATCCACATTATAAAAATTCAAAAAAAAATTAGATATTAACCTAAAACCTATCAGGTCTGTGCATTGTCCAATGACAATTATGTACC